TATGTGTTATTTCACTTTTAGTCTCTTATTTTTGTTTTCAAAACATCCATTTTGGTCCTAACATTATTGTGGCATGACCAATAATAATCTGGTCCTCTGACAACAAATAAATTTAAATGGCGTTATTGACTACTCAAAATCCTCTTTTTTTTTTTTTTTTCCATGGTAATAAAACTGTTATCAATACATAAGTCTACTGTAATATTAAAAAAAAAAAAAGTGCAATTGAAAAATCTACAAGTCTACTTCATGAAATGGACTTTAAAAAAAAAAAAAAAAGTCTATTTCATAAAAATCCACAAGACTTGTAGTTCTATTACCAAGAAGAAGAAAAAAATGAGGATTTTGAGTGATTAATAATGTCATTTTTATGTCATTTAAACATATTTGATGATGGATGACAAAAAATGGTCATGTCAAAATAATGTTCGGACCAACATGGATGTTTTGAAAAAAAAATGACTAAAAGTGAAATAACACATAAGTCTAGCCGTCTAGGACCAAAAAAGTAAAAAGACATAACATTTAGAACTGAATAGACCAAAATTCCCTTCAATTTAACGCAATTTAAACGATTTTATTCAACAAAGACACAAAATGGTCATGCCATATTAATACTAGAACCAAACAGAAATGTTTTGAAAAAAAATAAAAAAGAGTAAAGATGAAATAACATTTATAAATCTAGGACAAAAAAATGAAATTAACTCATTTAGGTTATTAATGAGTCATCTTAACTATAATAAAGCTATATGGTTTGGGAAGTAATTAATGTTACAATTAATGCCACAACATCCTTTATTAAAAAAAAAACATTTGAAAAATAAAATAGCTATATATTATATTATCATATAAAAAAGGGAAAATGACACTTTTTCCCCCTAAGTTATATACTTATAGCACTTTTTCTCCCTCAATTATTTAAGTGGTCCTTTTTCCCCTCTGAAATGTTAAATGGACATATTTACCCTTAAAATAAATATTTTATTTATTTTCATTCTCCAACAAATTATTACTATAATTTGGTTCAAACCAAACAGATACTATAGCAACCAAACCAAAATATTCCAATTACAATTTATAATCAAAACGCGATATTTAGAGTTCATTAAAATCGCGAACCGGAATGGCCGGTTCATGTTCCGAACTGAAAAAATAAAATACATTTATTGTTGAATTTAGACTATTTTAAAATAAAAAATAAAATTTTAAAATAAAGACGGTTCAAAATCGCGAACTGGATCCGGAACCGCCGGTTCACAGTTCATGATCCAGTGTTTTTTATTCTTAAATTTAATAAATTGAAATCCAAGTATTGGGTTCTAGATCTGAATGTTAACTGAAAACTTTTAATTCAATTGCTATAGTGTCTGGTTCAGTTCGAACCGAACCGTAGTAATCGCTACATATACGCAATAATTTGTTGGAGAAGTAAAATAAATAAAATGTTTACTTTAAGGGTAGAAATGTCAATTTAATATATTAGGGGGGAAAAACCACCACTTTTAAAATAACTGAGGGGGCTAATGTGCTTGCATAAATAATTGAGGGGGAAAAAGTACTATAAGTATATAACTTAGGGGGAAAAAGTGCTATTTTCCCTATAAAAAATGTGTTCAATTAGAGTTTAAATTTACTCATTCAAAATTTGAAATTTGATTTCCAAATGTAATTATCTTAGTTATTATTCGTATTGTGAAAATTATAATATAGATGAAATACAATTAAGAATAAATCAATGTAATTATGTAAATTCTCTCTATAAGTTTATTTGAATATGTACATAATTAGAAATTATATTAACCATACAAAATTTTAATTTTAATTTTAATTTTTAATTGTAATTTTAATTTGTATTCTATAAAAAATAATAAATACTTGACCAATGGAAGCTCAAAAATATTATTATATTAAACAATTTAAAATATTTTAATTTTTCTATTTTTTATTTATATTTATAATAACATAATTTTTTCCCATGCATCGTACGGGTGAATTACTAGTTAATCTATATAGACCTATTTGTAAATAAATTTGTAAATAACTATGATTGTTTACTACATGTTTGACAAAAAGGCAAACACGAATAAATTTTTTTAATATTTTAAATAATTTTTAAAATTATTTGTACAAAAGAGATAATAATAATAATAATAATAATAATAATAATAATAATAGTAGTAGTAGTAGTAATAATAGTAATAATAGTAATTAATAATTAATAATAATAATAATAATAATAATAATAATTGAACTAATAATAATAATAATAATAATAATAATAATAATAATAATAATAATAGAACTATTTTACTGTTTTATTTATGACATTTTATTTGAATTTCTTTTTTTAGTTGGGAGACCTACCTATACTAGTTGTTAGAGTTATGAGTTCAATTTGACAGTTTTTTCTTTATATTCAATTTAATTACATATAATAAAGGTGGCATTTTGGTTGGAATTATCCTAACTAAGCCAAATCAAGACCAAACTGAATGGTTAAGTTTTAATTTATTATTAAAAATTGATTGCTCTATATTCTATAAATTGAATGGTGTGTGTATCAATTCTTCCTCTCTCTTGACTTCTCCCTTAGGCAACGATGCAATATATCAGTTTTCTTTGTAGTCTGCTAGTTAACAGTGGTTGGGCCCCTTGGGCCGAATTCATTCATTTTGTTTATTTAGAACATTTGCAACCCGTTTGTATTATTTTAAGGGCTTTGTGCCCTGTCAATCCATTATGCTTTTCGTACTCATTACACAATATCGATTCCGTTTTATGCTGGATCCTGTCTATTAAAACTATGAATATTAATAATTATATATTTTATTTATACTCAAATTTGCAAATTTATTGAAATATATATACTAAATCCCCATGATTCACTAACACTAGTACAAAATTTATTGAAATATAACTCAAATTTTCACAATTGTTTTTTGTTTTCAATTTTTCTCTATGAGTCAGCGATGTTGTTGTCGGACGGAATACACATGTGAAGAGATCTATTTGATTTGAGATAATTTTAGATTGAGAAATTTAAAATATGCATTGTTGGTCTTTCAATAATTACCTTTATATTATCAACACCTTTCTGTCGTCATCACTTGCCACCACCATGCAATCAATCGTACCACCGTCCTTTTTCACCGCCACCACACAATATATATATGAATATATACATACCTCTTCTCCGAGACATGTTTCTCAGCTACCTTTATGTAGGAATGTCAATCAACCTAGCCCTATCAGATTATTGGATTTATTGGTTCGAGCTAATCAATTCTTTTTAGTTAAATTTATAATTCTTGACAAATTATACCATGAAACATGGTCCAACTTGTATTATGGATCAGCTTGTTCAAAATGACATTTAGATTATGTGTCTTGACATATTGTGTCTGTAGTTAACTAGATTATGTGACTATAAATAAATTGAAGGCACATAATATGTTAAATATATGCACATAATAGGTTAACTACATACACATAACATATTAACTGCATGCACATAATATGTCGTTAACATATTAAGTGTTTGAAGTTAACATATTATGTGTTAATAGTTAACATATTATATGTGTTTGTACTTAACATATTATGTATTAATAGTTAACATATTATATATGTATTTGTAGTTAATAAATTATGGTCTTCAATTAATTTACATAAACATAATTAATGTGCTAATTGCAGACACATAATATAATGTGCTAACCCGTTGAGTGGTACAATATTAAGTGCACTACAGATCAATGCGTCACGTATGACTAAAAAATGCACCACACACTAGCACATAATTCACCGTCAAAATATACATAGTGCAAGAGATTACAATTGTCACCACATATTTTCTCTTCTTCATTAATTTCTATCAGTTTGATCACGATTCATCCTACAGTTCTAATATATCCGCTTAACTGCAGAGAGAGCAGCACCACACCAGTTCCCATATCGGATGGACAAGCAATGAGGAGCTACGCTCCTCTTTGTAGTAGTGTAAATCTTTTTTAATATTAAGGACGTTTTGGAAAAATAATTATCTTTCCCCAAAACACTAGTTGTAAAAGTTGTATTTTGTAGCGTTTGCAATTTTAGTACTTTAAAGGAAACCACTGAATTATCAAACTTTTCTTTTAGCATTTTGACTTGGTCAAAATATTAAATAAAAATTAAATTTGTCAAAAATTTTACCGATCCGTCATTTACCAAACAAACCATAGCCTATAGTGACGAATGTATATTTTATTTTGGTTTTGTTGGCAGTTTTTGTCGTAATTAGTGCATGCTAAATGAGTTGTTTTTTGTAGGAAGATTCTGAGAGGGGTTGGGCATGAAAAGTTGACGATGTTGCTGAGCCACAAGTCGCTGAGTCGGAGAGCTACGCTGTCGTCATATTTGACGCCGGAAGCACCGACAGCAAGGTCCATGTCTTCCGTTCATTGAAAACTTGGATATCCTCCTTATTGGCGACAATATTGAGTTGTACAACGTGGTAAGGCAGCGCAGTTCGTCGACGATATTGAGTCGTTCAGGTCGTTGTACCAATTCTTCTTTGTAATTTGTCAATGGAATTAATTCCAGCACTGATCTTCCGACTATTGTGATTTTTTAAATTTGGTCGAAATTTGGACAAAATAAGTCCTTTTGGTGATTTTTTTTTAAAAAACTTGTGTATTTTAATTTGGACGAAATAAGTCCCTGATTATTAGATTTGTTCTACCATTGGTCCTTTCGTGAAATTGACATTGGACAGACGTTAAGTCACTACTGAAAATTCTGAAATTTCCGATCACCTGAAGGTGATCTTAAATCAAGTTGAAAGTCTTGTTCCGACCACTTTTGGTATCCGGAAAAACCTTTGTTGCTATTTCCGACCACTTTTTGGACTTTTTGATATCAACTTAATTTAAGATCATTTTCAGGTGGTCGGAAATTTCAGAATTTCCAGTAGTGAGTTAAGAGGTAAATGGTACTTTCCATAACTAGTCCCAGATTTTGTTGCCACTGAAGCAATTCCCACCATTTCAGAGTTGAAAAACCTTAACAATGCAAAAAAAAAAAAAGGTTGTTCTTAAAGGGCCTAAGTCAAGTGCCAGATTAGAAGGCGAAGAAGAAACTCGTTCTAAGATCAAGGCAAAGTTTAGAAATGGCATACAGAATGAAGGTTTAAGGAAAAAAGAAACAGCATCGAAACCCCGCTGCCAAATGATGTCCACATAGGCCAAGGTACATTGTAATCCATTGTGAGACTTACTGGAATTCATACTTCATTTTACTCTAGTGGTATGTTATGTTTGCAGGAAATGGTGAGATAAATCAGCTAGTAAGAGAGAAGAACGCACGAGCAGATGATTCAAATGCTCGTTTCAATGAAACGATGATTGAAGAAAAGAGAGGTGAAGAAAAAGGAAGTTGAGGCTGCTAAAATGAATGGGAAGAAGAGTTGTAATAAAGGAATTGAATCACTAAAAATAGAGTAGAGGTCCAAGACCTTCCTTCAAATCCAAAAGAAAAGTTCACTAATGTTGGAGTGAAGGGAAAGGTCCAAGAATTTGTTAAGATCTTCAACCAAGAAGCTACTTCAGGCTCGAGTTAATTCCAGTAATGGTTCTCTGACTATAGTGATTTTTCAAATTTGGTCCTCGCCTTTTAATTTGGACGAATTAAACCCTTTATTATCAAAATCGTTCTACCATTAGTCCTCCCGTGGACCTAACGTTAGTTAGATGTTAAGAGCATGGATAAAAGTGTCTATTCATATGATGTGTATCTTCTTCCCAATTCGTTTCAATGGCGTGAATGGCACTCAAAGCATGATTTTGAGTTCTAAGTATTTGAAGGCAGCATAAGAGCTCCTTAAGGAGGCAGTTAATGTTAGCAAAGGAATAAAAACTGATGCTGAATCAACTAATAGTCAGAGGATCATTTTAGGTGTAATTAAATGTTAAAGAACCAATTTGAGAAAAGGCTATAGTCGAAGGACCATTTTGGAATTAACATAGAAACAACAAATGGCTTAATTTCTTAATATTTATTTCAACATGTAATATATATGTAGTGAACTTGAAACCAAAACAATTTTGAAGTTTTAGCTATATTGAAATGGCAAAAAAAAAAAAAAAAAAAAAAAAAAAAAAAAAAAAGGCATGTCAACCTTTGCGGTTAATTAATACAAAATGATATTAATGTAAAATGACTAAGATGTTCTTCAATAATTTGAAAATTTAATATGCATTGTTAATATTAATAGAATTTGTTAGTGATGAATCAAAGCTGTCACTTTACACATAATTGAAAAGAAAAAATTGTATATGGTAATAATTCATAAACTAAGTCTACAATATGAGTATAATTAATGGACTAAAATAGTCATTTTCCTAGAAAAATAACAAATTTTGATCCTTTAAGTGTTTTTAAATTATAAATTTAGTCCCTTTCTTTTAAGTTTTACAAAGGAGTTAATTCCCAAAAATGGTCCTCCGACTATGGCATTTTCTCAAATTGGTCCTTTGACTTTTAATTTCCCCACAGTAGTCCTCTGATTTTTGAATTTTAAGTCAAAATAGTCCTCCGTTAGCTTTGATGTTAAGTTGGTGTTAAAATGAAGGGTAAAAGTGGAAATTTAAGTTTTGCACTCCAATTTAAAGCAATTTGTGATTCCTTTTAGCAATCTGCGCACATATTTCTTCAAATTAGGTTTATGCTCTCTTAAATCTGTAATCAAAATGTGGATAATCAACTAGAAGGCCAGAAATCTTTGCCTTGGGAAGTTTGTGGATGAAGTTGATTAGTTGAAGATGAACTTTTTTTTGCCTACTTTGGAGAAATTAAAAGTCAAGGGACCAATTTGAGAAAAAGGTCATAGTCGGAGGACCATTTTAAAAATTAACTCTTCTATGTTAATAAGTTGAAGTGAGTCTTCAATCTATAAACAATTTTAATTCATATGTCATTTTCATTTTCTTAAAAAAAAAAAGAAAAAAAAAAGAACAGTGCAGTGGTACTACTATATTGCCAATTGAATTTTCAGTTTTTCATTTAAAACAAGACACCACGACGACGACGATAAAAAAAAAAAAAGCATATTAAATAATTAATTGATATGAAACAATTTGCTCACTCAAAAAAAAAAAAAAAACTAATATGAAAATTTGATATTAATATATGTATTGTAATTCACAAATTAATGTATGACATTTGAGTATTCATTTTGTTTAAATGTTCTTCAAGAATCTCAAAACATTAACATTACCAATAAGACTACATATCATATATTGCATTGTATTTTAATCTCTTAATTATTCCTTATTACCATATCATATATTGCATTGTATTTTAATCTCTTAATTATTCCTTATTACCAATTATTTTAGTCTGTAACTTTTTACCATTACAATTTACTAAATAAATTTTTAATTAATAATCAAATATTAAATAATTCAATAAGATAACATGCACCACATTATGAGGGAAAATATAGAAAATATATATATTTTTGATTAAATATAGAAAAGATATAAAGCATTACTTATTTAAGAAATCTATATCATCAATACAACAAATTACACTAACCAATCTAATCACATCATAAGAATATAAATTTAGGTTGAAATTTATTACTAAAAGACATTGTTGTAAAAATTGATCTAGGCGAGGCCGATTAGGCATTTAATTTGGCCGAGTCAACGCTCAACTTGGTTGAGTGATTTTTTTTATTGCTTGGTGGCTCCTTTTCTATGGCCCTGTTTGGTAAAAAATTGACCTATAGGTCAACTTTGATTTATTTGACCACTATTAATTATTTGATTTAGTTAAAATATCAATATAAATGTTTGATTAATTAACTTTTGGCAACTCCAAAAGGCTAAAATTCAAAAAGCTACTCCAAACAACTTTTTCAATTAGCTTTTTGAGAAAAGAAATTATACCAAACATCTATCAGCTAACAGCTAATTTACCAAACACTTTTTTACAATCAGTTAATATTATCAACTATTTATACCATCTAATTAACACAATCAGCTAACAGCTAACAGTCATTTTACCAAACAGAGCCTATATATTTCTCTAGTCATATATTCAACTAACCATTTAACATATGTAATTGACTAATTTGGAGAATTAAAACAGTCTAACAACTCACAATTGTTAAAAAAGATTCGGATTACTCGACCGCCTAGGGGCTCTAAACACCCGGAGGCCATTTCTAAAAGGTTTGAATTCAAATTTTGTATTGTATCATAGTAAAAAAATAAAAAATGAAATTATGTTAATCGGGATGGGGAATTGTTGTCTGATAATTCCCGGGGAAGAAGATCGAAGATTTTTGTTTTTGGTTTCATATTCCGGCGGGGTCCTCAAAATGGGCACAGCTTTGTACTACTTTTTAAAGATTTTGTCCATTCAAATTACCTTTTTGTTTAGGCTTTAACTAACTCTCTCGCTCCTTCTTCCCTTTCCAACGGTCGCCCACCCTGCAATTCTTCAACTACCGCCACTCCTCATCTTCTTCAATTCTCCGCTTCTCCGGATACTTGATGATTTCGTCTTAGTATCTCTGGATACACACAGGGATAAAAGATGACGGTGCTGAATCTTAAACCGTTGCCGTTTCTGGTTTGGAGCAGCTCCTATGATGGAAAACATGCATGTCAGGACCTCAAGATGAAATGGCAGCTAAATTCCTGGGGTTCGAGAAGCCGGAAATTCCGAGTTTTCTGCGACTCAACTGTGATTTTCTCGAATACCTTGTTCTTCTTTTGATCCTAATTTCTCTTTCCGCAATGATAATTGTCATTTTGCCAGAATTAATTGAGTTTATTAGGCTGCTTGGTCTCATTTACTCGTGGTATTTTTGTCCTATAAAACATCTATTTAGACAATAGGAAATGATTGTTGTTTGCATTTAATTTTAGTTTCTTGCTGCTGAGAATCTGATTGGCTCGCGCAATTACTCTTCTAATGCGGAAGCTTTGAGCTTAGCTTTAATTTGTACTCTGTAATATGTTTGTAACCAGACTGCTATGAGCTGATGTGATGGTGTAAATTCTTTTGGGAAATTTGGTTTTTGAACCATAAATTCCAAAGGGATGATATGGGACAGTGTTGGTCATGCTATGTTAAAGATCCTTTTGATTTTTAGGTGGTTTAGTCTACACACTCTGCAGAAAAGAAGCGATTTTTAGGGTTTTCTTTTTAATTAATTGCAATGGTAGTATCCATGCTTGCATCAATCAGGATAATTATGCTATTGAATTTAGTGCTTTTTTCTAAGCAAGTATTTAGTTACCTTCTCATCTTCATAGTTTTCTTGTCAGCATCACTTTATCTTGAAGTGCGCACATAATGTGAAGTGTAAGGAAGAAAGTATTTGACATCATATGATAATAGCTTTGAACCATTTTAGGGAGTCTTAGACTATCATAACTGCTTTAGATGCTATTGGAATAGGATTCTCAAAGAGCAAATATGTTTTGGATACAATCAGGAAGATTGAGAATGAATTGATAGATAGATATTGTCTCAACTTACAATATAAAGAATAAAGTTTTGGACTGAGTTTATTTGCTAATGTATCACAACATTCTGATGGTAAAACCTATTTTTTTTTTTTTTTTTTTTTTTTGAGTTTATTTGCTAAATTTTACATCCTTCCACCTCTTTCCTAGCATGTACTTTTGAATGAAATATCATTACATAGAAAATGTATTTCTTCATATCTGCTATGCTATGTTAGATTGTTTGAATATTTCAGAATCCCTAGTTTATTCATTATGTTACTTATGTTCTGTTTAAGTTGAAGGAAATGCAAATAAGGAAGTGTTCTCCTGTTTTGGAGCACATGTTGTTGTCAGGCAATGGATTGTTGACATCTTCAGAATGGAAAACAGTTCCTGATATCTGGAAGACGGCAGCAGAGAAGTTTGGCAATAGTGTAGCATTAGTGGACCCATACCATAATCCTCCAACTAATATGAGCTATAAGCAGGTCAGCGGCCTTTCGTTTGCATGATTAATTATCACTTTACTGATAATTTTGATGATCATCTGAAGCATAATGGTTAAAAGAATTAAGTTTTTGTAGATACTTCTCTCCTATTTCTTCTATTGTACTGAGTATTGTGCACTTATTCTGGCCTTTGTTGTTAAGGTTGATCTTGCTGTACTGACTAAGTGCTCAATTTTTTTTTTTGTTTTTTACCATTATGGCATTATGTAGTAGTTTGGTATTAAGGTCATTGTTTCAAGTCCTTGAAACAACAGAGGTAAACTAATTAATAAATTCCTAGATATATTGGCAAAGTTATATTGATTGATAAAGTTATTGCTTCTTTCTTTGATAGTTATTATCTACTTGAAATGTATTGAAACTATATTATAATGAGTTACACTTCTATGAATCCAAGTGTATAGACACCTTGTGGTTTCCATCATATTTCTATGAGTTATTGCTATGACATGTGGGGTATTCTTAAGTATGGTAGCCAGCTACTGTAACAAAGGTGTCGAGTTTTCCTGTTATTGCCAATTAAGTTGTTTCTCTGAATTTTTCTGGGCTTGGTTCTGTACTTCATTGGAGAATCAATAGCTTCAGGGCTTTCAATTCATTATTAAGAGGATTAGTTGTTTTGCATCCTACAACATTAACATCTACTATTCTGCTTGATGCTCGCACTCTACTGTTTTTATCATTTCCATTTAGTGTAGAAGATTTCTGTACAAGCAATTTAAGTATCCTGTTTCAAAAAGACTAGAATCTAACTTTTTTCTTAATCTTGATTTATCTGAACTCTTTTTAACTGCAGCTTGAGAAGGAAATTGTGAGCTTTGCTGAAGGTCTAAGAGTTGTTGGCTTAAAACCAGATGAAAAGATCGCACTATTTGCTGACAATTCATGCCGGTGGCTTGTTGCAGATCAAGGTTCTCTCTCTCTCTCTCTCTCTCTCTCTCTTGTTTCTTACTTCTGAATATTGACTGTAAGCTTCCAAAAGTACGTGCAGCCCATATATCACAACATTCTCAGAAAGGTGCTGACTATATTTTATGAGTACTTTTTAGGAAATTTAACAATGGACAGAAATCCATTCATGACCAAAATTTGACAAAGTTGTCTTTGAGTTTTATTCATTTTTAGTATTTTGTGGATTTAAAGTTGTCTGTTTTTTAATGGAATTTTTAGTATCTTGCTAATGCTTGAAGTTAGACAGATTATAACTTTTCTGAAGTCCTAGAGGCTTAATAATGCTCACAATTCACACTACTTTTGTGTTTACTTACTATTATTATTATTTTTTTGAGTATGTGTTTACTTATTATTATTATTATTATTATTATTATTATTATTATTATTATTATTATTATTATTATTATTATTATTATTATTATTATTATTATTAAACTGCCATACTGTTTCAACTATTTATGGTTGTACTTTTAAAAGTGACCTTTTGATTACATTAGCTGTTTGGGTAAGAAACCAGCGTTTTACCTATCAAATAAAATATATTATATTCCTTAGGTATAATGACCACTGGAGCAATCAATGTGGTGCGGGGTTCAAGGTCATCAGTTGAAGAGCTTTTGCAAATATACAACCATTCTGATAGGTCAGTCAGTTCAGATGTTCTTCCAGAGGCTTGCTTCTATTAACAGTACTAATTTCACTTTTTTTTTTTTGAATGTTTTATATATTTACATATACATGTGATAGAAATTTCTGCCTTGTGAAGTTATTATAACAATATTTTTAATTTATATCAGATTTGTGGCTTATGTATCTGGTGTTTGCGTTGTTTACTTCATAGACCAAACTATACTCTGCTTTCATTAATAACTAAGGTTTTGCTAATCATGCATCAACTGCAATGGTACATGGATAAACCCCAAAGAATTCATTCTATCTCCCTTCTTCTTCCTCCCCAAAAACCTGAACCATTGCCCCGATGGATACCCAGAATTCCTTAAGCCCGTGCCCTCCAAGTAACGGGGGTTTCTTGAAATTTCTCTTCCTCGTCCAAGGTTTTAATAGTCATTTTCTCATCTTCCTCCAACCTTTTCTTCTATCATCACCCCTTGTCATTGATTCCTATTCCTATTCCATTTGTGTATTCAAACCAAATGTTAATTCATTCCATGCTTGATCTAAACACCCCAGGGAATTATTGGGATTTTTATCTAATGGGTGCCTCCTTTTACATTTATAAAGACATGAACTAGGGGTTGATTACCTTCACACATTCCCTTCCCAATCCTCTCTCTTTTGATCCAATCCATCAAAGTATAAAGTGAAGCTTTTAACTTCACTGATTGTATATCTCTGTATCTGTGATTGAAATATGACAATTTGCTGAAACTGATCTGTTTCTAAATTTAACAATGGCATGTGCCTGTCACTATAATTACAGTGTTGCTCTTGCTGTCGACAATCCTGAACTGTACAGCCAAATTGCAGAAAGCTTCCAGTCCCGAGCAAATGTAAGATTTGTCATCTTACTTTGGGGAGAGAAATCAAGTATCACGAGTAAAGTAACAGATGGACTTCCCATATATAGTTATACAGAGATCTTAGATTTGGGGAATGAGAGTCATATGGCATTAATTCATCCACAAGAAGCCAGTAAGTGATTCTACCTCAGACATATGGGTTACCTATTCTTATAAGTACACATTCTTATCATTGAGACAGAAATTGTATATTGTTGAGGTTGCTAAATACAATAAGGTGTCTCCTCTAACCTGGAGGGTGTGGTTGAGTGGAAGGGACTCATCCATCCTTAACCAAAGGTCAAGGGTTCGATCCTTGGCTTTGGGAATGGAGCAGCCTTAAATCTCTAGGCCAGCTGTCCCACCCAAAAGAGGTGCCTACAATTCAGCGAGTGGAGGGGATTAGTCACTGTGTCCGACGGTGGAAACCCTGGGTATACCCCAAAAAAAAAAAAGGTGTCTCCCCTCTAGTAGCTTAATGGCTTTTGGTTGAGGTGGAGTACAAGACATAGTATCAAAATAGGCAGTTTGTACAAAATGTGTCCATAAGATCACTAACTAGTGCAATTGCAGGGCATCAATACGTATATGAACCAATCAACTCTGATGATGTAGCTACACTTGTTTATACTAGTGGCACTACTGGCAATCCGAAAGGTGTAATGCTTACACATAAAAATCTGCTTCACCAGGTTTCTTTCTTTTCATTTTAGCCTGACATACAGTAACAAGGCCAATACTATAGGTCTTTATAAACAGAAACCTGAAAACATCAAAACAATAATTACTAAAAATAGTCCGCATGGGTAGCTCAACTGGTCATAGAGGTGAAAGTTTAGAAGAATGACCAGGGATCGAGTCTCACCAGCGGCAGTGTGGGAGCAACCTCTCAAAGTGAGGGGGGCTCCTTGTGCGTAGTAAGCAAAGGTCTAGCCTCTGTGGTTCATGTTCAGTTGAGTTACCATGATTTACATCCTCCCAGATGCTCTGTCGGGCCCTTAGGGTTGGGGTTCAACCTTTTGGAAGAATAATTACTAAAAATAATATACTATAGTATTTATTTTCAGCAAGATGCTAGATTAGTTAGGGCTTACATATTCCTAAACTTTGTGATTGATCATATGAAAAAAGACACTTATAATAAGAGAATGCATAGGACATGATTTTCTTCTAAAATATACTGTTTGACCATCTGTGCTGATTGTTATTTCGCTTGTGCCATCCATGGAAGTGTTGCCCTTATTTTGTTTTAAGGCCTTGTTATTATGCTTGTGCCTAGGTTATGAGTTTCTCGGATCCTGTACCTGTTAAACCTGGGGATAGATTCCTGAGCATACTTCCTCCTTGGCATGTGTATGAACGTGCATGTGAATATTTCATACTCACATCTGGAAGTGAGCAAATATACACTACCGTAAAAAACTTGAAGGTATCTTGTATTGTAATATTCCCGCTGTTGCATTTTGACGTTCAGGTTATCTAGTTATTAAACAGATTTGAATTATATACATTATTTTGTTCTCCATAATTTGCAGTTGAAATTGTTGTTTAAAAAATAAATAAAGGAAGATACGTCAAGCTTCTGATTCAGTATACTTATATTTTAGGTAGATTTGAAATGCTATCAGCCACATTACCTTGTATCAGTTCCTTTGGTATTTGAAACGTTATACAGGTAAATGTTATTCAACTAACTACTTTGTTTTATTTGACTTCTTTTCGTACAAGTTTACCAAGGAGTTTTGCAATGATAAGGTGAAAATTTTGTGCTAAAAGCTTCTAAAACATAAAAAAAAAAGATGCATGAATATCAATTCTCTTCAATCCAACTTTCTGTCTATTACATTTTCTAATCTAAATTGCCGTATTTTACCTGGAACAACAAATATTATGTATTTGTTCTTTTCTCTCATGATATGATGATATGATGTTCTGTCTTTATTTAATAATATTGCAGTGGAATTCTGAAGCAGATTAACACGAGCAGCACTCCTCGAAAGCTCATTGCCTTACTATTTCTAAGGATCAGTTTGGTATACAAGGAGGCCAAGAGAATATATGAGGTTTAACATCGTCCTTTTAATTCTTTCAATTATGCAAGATGATATGTAACCAAATCAATTACAAAACCTTAACTTGTTAGTCTGAATTGTCAACTATTTCAGGGGAAATGCTTAACAAAAGATCCAAAACAGCCTTCTTACATTGTTTCAGTTTTGGACTGGTTATGGGCCAGAGCCATTGCTGCTCTATTGTGGCCATTGCACAGGTTGGCGAAGAAATTAGTGTACAGTAAAATTCATTCAAACATTGGCATTTCTAAGGTATGGTATTAAAGCATACATATTTTTCAAGACATGACATGCCATTTAAGTGTTCAGAAACTGAGGTTATATTTCTTTGTGATTGTTATTAATTGTTGTTATTGTTATTATTATTAAAGAAATTTGGGGGTGTGAATGAGATTCTCAACTTGGTTAGATCCAGTCCAGTTTATTTTTTATTTCTCAAAAATGAAGTGTATATAATTTGGACCGGTCAGCCTGCAATGGGCATACACCATAACTTGGCACTTCAAGATATGATGCATGTTCCCAGCAAGGTAAAATTTCACGAAGAGAAGGGAAAGTCTATTTTGTGTGAACATGGGTATATAGAGAGCATATTCATAGTGAGAACAAATCATTTGTGGATATGAATATCTATGCTGATTGCTGACATAAGAGTCGGTCAGGATTATGATTCCATATTTTTTTGTTTTTTTGCAGGCTGGAATAAATGGAGGTGGTAGTCTTTCTCCACATGTTGACAAGTTCTTTGAGGTTTGGTGCTTTATCTTTGTAGCCATCTAAAGCCAAGGTGTGTATTGATACTAGCTTCTGATTCAAGATGTGATATCATTCAGGCAATTGGCATAACAGTTCAAAATGGATACGGTTTAACAGAGTCATCTCCTGTTGTTTCTTGTCGGCAGCCCAACTATAATGTATGTGCTGTATCCTCTGCAAATTGAAACTATGCACTTTTAGTTGTTTGCTTTGATTAGTATTATATTTTCCTATTTGGTTTTAATTGGCAATTCTTCAAATGCTTGAATCATCTATCTAGACTATATCGTTAACATTACTTCAATTCTTCAAAACCATTTTGATTAGAGGTAACTTTTCAAGAAACAAATGTGACAGACCCAATCCTTAGCACATCTAAACTGGCCACTACAATCGTGCCCGCCTCACTAAAATTCCTTAGCACAAAATAGTGTGTATTTACTTGTTTTGAGATTCTATGTCATGCAAGTTGCTGATTTAATGTTTGCAGATCCTTGGCTCAGTTGGGCATCCCATTCAGTACACAGAAATAAAAGTTGTAGACGATGAAACAGGTGAGGTCCTCTCACCTGGTTCAAAAGGCCTTGTCAAAGTCAAGGGACCACAAGTGATGAAGGGCTACTACAAGGTTAGTTATTAACATTGGGTAATGATTTTCGAAAGTTTTCTTTATTGGTATCATTTTGCTGCCATCACTGCTTTCTTTGTTATTTGATAAATCTTACAACTTGCAACGTATTAAAACGTATTTATTCTGTGTATGTTCAGAATCCAATGGCTACAAAGCAAGCTATTGATGAGAATGGATGGCTAAATACGGGTGATCTTGGTTGGATTGTTCCTCATCATTCAGTTGGGCGATCTCGCAATTCTTCCGGTGTTATCGTCCTTGAAGGTCGTGCCAAGGATACCATCGTGCTTTCATCAGGTGATTGTAAAGTTGATATCTTAGAAACCGAAACCTTTCCACCATTTCATTTTAATATCTAAATCCACTACACACGCCAACATAGAATCCTACTTCATAATGGGAATTGTAATCTTCTTGATGTCGGTTTTGGGTATCTGTATATTATTTCTATTTCTATACAATTCCTTAGCTGTAAGACATTTCCAAGAAGTTTATGTAACAACTGATATGTGCAAAGAATAGGCGAAAACGTGGAACCATCTGAGATTGAAGAAGCTGCAATGGGTAGCAATTTGATTCAACAGATTGTTGTCATTGGTCAGGTGTGTACCAGGCCTTTTCAGTTTCTATTCAATTCCTTCAACTTTTTTCAACATCATATGAATACATTAACGTCTAGGACAAACGGCGTCTTGGAGCTATCGTTGTACCACGCAAAGAGGAGGTACTTTTCGCTGCCAAACAATTGTCTGTTATCGACTCTAATGCCACAGAAGTTAGCGAGGAGAAAACCGTTACCATATTACATGAAGAACTTAGAAAATGGTAAGATGGCTACCACAGTCTGCAAGTTATTGTCATCTTTTAGCTTCAACAATCAAAATACTCAACACAGTTAATCACTTAATGCAGGACAGCAGGTTGCATGTTTCAAGTCGGGCCTATCCTCATCGTTGATGAGCCTTTTACGGTAATAATCTTGCTGATTGAGCCATTCATTTTCAGATTCGAAGAAATGCCAAAGGCTTAGACATTATGTTTTCTGGCTGTGCAGATTGATAACGGTTTGTTGACTCCAACCATGAAAGTCAAGAGAGACAGAGTAGCAGATTTATACAAAGAGCAAATAGACAATCTATACAAGTGACTTTTCCAATCTTCTAGAATATCAATTTGTAATTGTGAATTGAGCTAGATATTAGTGAGAAGACTCTTTAGATGAAGAGAGACAAATAGCAGATATATACAAAGAGCAAATAGACAATCTATATAGCTGACTTTACATTAAAAGCATTAGTATTTGATAGAGAAGTGATAAATATTACTCTCTCCTATTTTATCTATCTTATTTACTATTCAATGGTCAAATTAATTCTTTCTTCTTTGTTTATTTTCTTTAATATTTTACTATCTTTAAATTTGATTTTTTTTTTTGTGTGTGTGTGTGTGTGTGTGTTTAATAGTATTTTTAAATAGTTACTAAATATATACATTTTGTATACTAATACTAAACTTAATAGGAAAAATGGTCAAATAGACCCTTGAACTTTAGGCAAAAGTGCAATTAAACCCTTGAACTTTAAAAAAGTGTAATTAAACACTTGAACTTGTCAAAATGAGTCAAATAAGTCCGATTTACCAATAACCTGTCCGGTAATATTATTGACGTTGATCGCTGTTGACTGTTGCTAACCACCATTAAAAATATAAAGGCCCTGTTTGGTAAAATGACTGTTAGCTGATTGTGTTAATTTGATGGTATAAATAGTTGGTAACATTAGCTGATTGTAGATTAGCTGATAGCTGTTTGATATAATTTCTTTTCTCAAAAAGCTAATTGAAAAAGTTGCTTAGAGTAGCTTTTTGAATTTTAGTCTTTTGGAGTTGCAAAAAGCTAATTAACCAAACATTTATATTGATATTTTAAATCAAATAATTAATAGTGGTCAAATATGCCAAAATTGACCTATAGGCCAATTTTTTACCAAACAGGGCCAGAAACTAACTTCCGGTGACCTTTTCCACAGGAGAAAACGACCGATCGTCTTCTCCCGTGGAGAAGGCGGCCAGATCTGGTCGCTTCTCCACCGGAGAAGACGACCGGCGGTTGTCTTCTTCGGTTTGGCCACTTGATTTAAATTTTTTTTTTTTTTTATTGTTGTCGAAATTTTTTATCACCAGAATTATTATCGGAAATCTGAATGACTGGTTATTCCAGGTGAATAATGATCGTAGCAAAAATGAGTGATGGTGAGTGTACGGGTGTGTAATGTCGTCCTCAGGGGATTGAGGGATATGGCACGTAATATGCAATCGCAATAAACTAGGCACTAACATAAGGAAACCAGCAAGAAGCTAAGCAAATCATAACGAGATTGAGGCTACGGTAACTAAACAAAGTAACACAAACACATATTAACAAGATGTAAACACGAAATAAAGAAAATAGGACTCAAGCTAGGGAGCATTATCTTCTAGATGCATAGCACAACCTAAGGATGGGGGAAAATTACACAATCAAGGAATAGATGAGATGCACGTAGGAATCCTAGTCTATAAGTCACTCACGTGAGCAAATTAACAAGGATTAGAACAAGGAATTGCCCCACTCTCGTGGTGAATCAACTCTAAGTTCTTCAAGAACACAAAGCATCTAAAACCCCCAATTTTCCCCATTTTCATAAGAAAAATCGGGTTTATGCAAGGAGTGGCTTAGAATCTTGACCCAACTCTCATTGAGGCCAAGAATCCTCCAAAACATGCCAATGAATGTTGTACACCAAACATTAACAATATACAAACACAAATCCTTCATAAACTCAAGAACCTTAGGTTAGAGTTCTTCCCCTTTTTGCAATAATCACAAATCAAGCATCAAGATAGAAAATACAACCCTAACTCAAGTTCATAAACTAACTACTCATGATTAAGTAGCATAAAGAACACAAAAACACAAGTGTAAAACATAAACATTGCAAGATAAAGAGATAAAAGGGGAAAAGAAGATTATCTATTGAAATGATGCATGGTAGAATCTTGAAATCCAAGTGTAGATCCTTCAATACAAGCTTGAAATATGATAAAGAACCTAATTCTACACCTAATCTAACACTAAAATATGAAACGAAAGAGTAGAAAATAGTTAGGGTCTGAATGGGGTTCAAAACCGTGTAGAAATGAGTGAAAACACAGCTAAAAACGAGCAGAGGCGAGGGTTTTCGACGCGTCGAACATTTGCAGTATGAAAATCGCGATTTTTTGCCCAATCTCGACGCATCGAGTGCTACTCTACAACATAACTTTGTTTTGTAGGCTAGTTTTGACCATTTTCCTTCAGAATTAGGCTTCGATGTCTTCATGGTAGTTGTAGCCCTTCGAGTCTTCTTTCAAATGGCGCAAGAATATAATCACCTCATTTGGACATTCCTAGGCCGAGATATGGTCAAATTACCAATCAGTGGTCAGTTTTAGGCTTTGATGTCTAAATATGAGTTATAGCACTTTGAGTCTTCTTTCAATGTGACAAGAATCACGTAATTTGGATATTTGTAGCTCGAGATATGGTCCAAAGACTATGACGTCGACGTGTAGGTCGGGAATTGCAATTGCATGATCACTTGCTTCTCTTTTACTTTGATTTGCCCAAATGACCAAGACCATTGAAAGCACCACCCGTAGGCTTTCTTGGAAGTGTTGCCCATCTCCATAGCTTTCCCTTGGCTCACATTGACTCCAATGCATCCAAAATGCTCATTTTGACTCCAATGCATCCAAAATGTTCATTTTGACTCCAAAGACCACTAAAGTCCATGAAAGTACTCATTTTTTGCTTCCAAAGCTTTTCAAACCAAATTCCTTGCAAAATAAAACAAATTAGTCCTAATTTAATGAAATTTGGAATAATCTATGAACAAAATGACTTAGTGAAAGAGTGAAAAATAATATAGACAAATAAGCACTTATCAAATAATTTGCTATTGGGTTTAGACGAACCAAAATTTAAAAATAAGTTGTCAATTCTCTATTTTGTATTTATATAATAAGTTTTTATATATATATATATATATATATATATATATATATATATATATATATATATATATACATTATTTATTTATTTATTTGCCAAGTATTTAAAATTGGTTATGTATGTATGTATGTATGTATGAGAACAAGTCCTTAGGAGAAAACTAAGAACCAATCTCAGTCTTACATCTAAAAAATATCGAACTAATCAAATTAGATTTTTTAAAAAAATGATGTGACATTTTCGTAATTATCATCAACTTTACTATACAAATTTGAACACTAAAATATGCAATTTTCATAATTTCTCAGGTTCACAAATTTAGTTCTTACAAGATACACATTTAGTTTTAACATATAACATATTGCACATTTAGTATTAAAAGATTGCACTTGCAAAAATAACAAAGTGCATTGTACTTAAAGCTTTGGATTTTAGAGTTTATGATTGAGTTTTTTTTTTTTTTTTTTTTTTTTTTTTTTTTTTTTTTTTGTTTTTTTTTTTTTTTTTTTTTTGGTTTAAGAGTTTACTTTTTACTATTTAGGATCTAATATTTACAGTTCACATTTAAAATTTAGTTTTTTCATTGATTCTTTAAAATTTATCTAGGTTTACATCAATTATTATTGTGTGGACCATGGTCCACACAAGTTGTGTAGACCATATTTTGTCTACTGTAAAATAATGTACATTCAATACAAAATTAATGTACATTGTATTCAGGGGATGTACATTATTTTTGTTCTGAGTGTACATTATATTGTATAATGTACATTCAGTACAAAAATATTGTACATTTAGTATATTAAAAATGTACTTTTTGTTATGGTCCACATAACATTGTGTGGACCATGGTCCACACAATAATTTGCCGGTTTACATATTTAGTTGTTTGAGAATGCATATTTAAGTGTTCAAGTTTACAAAGTAAGTTGACGATAATTACGAAAATGCCACCACGTTTTTTTTTTTTTTTTTTTTTTTTTTTTAATATGATCTGGTCCGTTTGATTTTTATTGATGTACTGATGCTATGTTTGACAGAGCTTATTTAGGAGCTTATAGCTTATTTTAAGCTACAAGCTATAAGCTCCCAAAATAAGCCAGTAGCTTATAATAAGAACTTATTTTGAAAAGCTACCTTAGTAGCGCTAGGAGCTTCTATTTTGAAAAAGCTACCTTAGGCTCTGTTTGGCAGAGCTTATTTAGGAGCTTATAGCTTATTTTAAGCTCCTAATAAGCTATAAGCCCTGTTTGGTAATGTTCCCAAAATAAGCTCCTAGCTTAAAATAAGAGCTTATTTTGGAACGCTATCTTGGGTAGCGTTTCAAAATAAGCTCCTAGCTTCCTAACTTTTTTTTCATCTTTATCCATATTATTTTAAAGAAATGACATAATTTACCATTCTCAATTAAAATCCTTTTCTCTTATCCTTTATCCGCAACTTTCACAGCAAATATTATTATTATTATTATTATTATTATTATTATTATTATTATTATTATTATTATTATTATTATTATTATTATTATTATTATTATTATTATTATTATTATTATTATTATTATTATTATTATTAATATTATTATTATTATTATTATTATTATTATTATTATTATTATTATTATTATTATTATTATTATTATTATTATTATTATGCGATTTGCAACAATATTGCTACTTCATTATGAGATGCTAGATCATGATTATGCTAATAGTTTTATTTCAAAATGTTAAGTTTTTTTAAAAGACAAAATGTTAAATTTTAATATGTAAACAAACTAATTTAAATTTTATGAAGATGTCCTTTTTAGTCTTTTTACATTTATCATCTTGTCAAAAAGCTATTTTTACCAAACACTTTCAATCATAACAGCTAGCTTAATAGCTCTTCAGTTTTCAGCTCCGAGCTTATAGCTTTTCAGCTTTCAGCTCCTAGCTTATAGCTTTTCAGCTAGGTTTGCCAAATAGAGCCTTAGTAGCGTTTCAAAAAATAAGCTAGGAGCTTCCTAACTTTTTTTTCCATCTTTATCCTTATTATTTTAAATAAATGATATCTTTTACCTTTCCCTATTAAAACACTTTGCCTTTTTTTTTTCTCTTATATTTTTATTCATCCTCTTCCGCAACGCTTTACGACCCAGGCCCCAGCAACTCCTTAAAATTCTAACTCAAATCATCCGTTCATAAATAAATGACATCTTTTACCCTTACCAATTATTTTTTTCTTTTGTTTTAATTTAATATATATCTCATATATATTATAAAAACAATTTTTTTTT